CCGTCCCAGCAGCACTCGCCGCAGCCGTGGGCTCGTCTCCCGCCTGGTTGGCCCGGCACCTCCGGAGGCGGTGGCCGTGGTGGCGGCCCGCGCAGCTTGGCGTCTACCAGCGGCTCCAGTGCTGTGACCTGCCAGTACCAGCTTCAGACCGGGCCTCTCCGCGGCACTCTGTGCCGCCGCCCGCACCCGACCGCCCGCTGTTTCCGCCGCCTCGACGATCTTTTTCGTCGTCGCTTTGGCCCGGCCCCGGACCTCCCTGACTGGCACAGCCTGCTCCGCCAAGGCGTGCCGATCTTTGAGTTAGACATGGATCAGATAGGTGCTGCTTTGCATGCTTTGTATGCTGACGCTTCTAGTGTTGCTGGATCTTACTACCCTGTGTACTCTAGTTTAGGTGTTTCACCCTTGTGTAGCTTAGCTTCCCCTGCTGCGTCAGGCGTAGGACTGCCTAGGTTGCCTAGCCTAGCTTCTGCACCGGCCCCGTCCCCGGCCTCTGCCACTGCCTCGCTGTCCTTCACGCTCGACTCCGGTGCTTCTGCCTGTTTCTTGCGTGACGGTCCACGCTCACGCCGCTTGCTACACCTGCGGTTGTCTCCCTCGCTGACCCTCTGCCCGTCCTGTCGTCGCTCGCAGTTCCACTTCCCTTCCCTGTCCAGCCGTTCCCTCGGGCTATCTTATAGGCTTCCACGTTCCTTCGTTCTCTAGGAACCTGGTTGGTGTCGGCCGTCTTCAGGACCTCGGCGTCACCACCACGTTCCCTGGGCACGAGCGGTTCGCTGTCTGTACCGAGGCAGTCTTAGGTTCCCCTCTCGCGACGTTCCCCCGGGACCCGGTGTCTGGTCTGTTTACCCTCGACACCGCTTCCCCCCCGGTTGGTGCGTCCTCCCAGGTCGCTGCAGCTTGCTCGTGTCGGTCCCTCACTCACCCGTCCCTTCTCTGGCACCATCGCTTAGGTCACCCTGCTCTCCCACGTCTGCGTCACATGTCTCAGCACGGTCTTGTCTTAGGCCTCCCCGCGTCGCTCCCTGCCCTCCCACCCTCGACTGCGCCACCGTGCACGCCTTCCGTCGAGGGCCGGCTCCGCCGTGCTCCTCACTCCTCCTCGCTGCGTCCTGCTACTGCCCCCCTTCAGACCCTGCACCTGGACGTTTGGGGCCCGGCCCCCGTCCCCGTACCGCGCGGTGAGCGCTACTTTCTTGTGCTCGTCGACGACTACACGCGCTACACCACGGTGTTTCCCCTGGAGCGGAAGGCCGACGTGCCCGACGTTCTTCTCCCGTGGGTTGTGGCTGCACGTCTTCACCGCGGTCTCCCTGTGTTGTGTCTCCACTCTGACCGTGGCGGTGAGTTCGCCTCTGGTCGGCTTGGACAGTTCTGTCGTGCGGAGGGCATCACCCAGTCGTACACCTTGCCGGACTCGCCACAGCAGAATGGGGTTGCTGAGCGCCGCATCGGTTTGGTCATGGAGGTGGCTCGTACCTCCATGATCCATGCCGATGCCCCCCATTTTCTGTGGCCGTTCGCTGTCCGCTACGCTGCTCACCAGCTTAACCTGTGGCCCCGCTCCCAGCGGCCGCAGGTTTCGCCGACCCTCCTTTGGATCGGATCCCCCGGTGACGCGTCTGCGTTCCACGTCTGGGGTTGCCTTGCTCACGTTCGTGCCTCTGGTACGGACAAGCTCACGGCCCGCACTGTCCCCTGTGTCTTCCTCGGTTTCCCCCTAGACTCGTCTGACTGGCTCTTCTACCACCCGCCGTCTCACCGCTTCCTCCACTCCCGTGACGTCATCTTTGACGAGTCTGTCTCCTTCTACCGTCGCTTCCCTCACCGAGGTCTCCCGGTTGCCCCGCCCCTCTTCCTTGCTCCCTCTCCCCCGGTAGCCCCTGCTCCTCTCCCGCCTCGTCCTGCCCCGTCTGGTGTCTCTCACGTCACTCCCCTCCCGTCGGTTGTCCCAGTTGAGGAGTCAGCTGACTCTGGTGGTCCCCCCGGCCCGTCCCTGCCGCGTCCCCTTCCCCGGTGTCTCCGCCTTCCCTGCCGCTGCCACCGCCGCCACCGCCGCTGCCGCAGCCGCTGCAGCCGCCGTCGCCGCCGCCGCCGCTGCCGCCGTTGGCCCCTGGGGGTGCTGGCGTCGAGGAGGGTGTTCGTCCTGCCGCGGCTGGAGTGGTCTGTCCCGGCGGGCCTGGGGGTGCCGCTGGTGCTGGAGGGTGTTCTCGCTCTGGGGGTGTTAGTTCTGGGGGTGCTGCCGTTGAGAGTTCTGCCAGTCCGAGGGTCGAGGCCCAGCCGCCGCAGCAGCCCCAGCAGCCGTCGCCGCCGGTCTCCGCTCTCCGTCTGCTCGGCCTTCCCTCCCCTGACCGCTCGCCGGTGTCTCCCCCACCGCCTGCTGACCTTCCTGTCTACGGTCCTGTGTTCCCGCCGCCGGACTCGTCTCCGGCCCGTCTTCCTCCTCGTTTCCCTCCTGTGTCCCCTCCGCTGTCTCCTGACCCTACACCTCCGTCCCACGTTTGGTCTCGTCGTCCCTCACGTGCCCGTCCCGTCTCTCCTGTCCTGCCCTCCCACCCTATGTTGCTCCGTTCCCACTCGTCTCGTCCTCCCTCCTCCCGTCACCTCCTCCCTCGTCGCTTGCTGTTGCACCTCCTCCGTTCTCTGACTACCTTCGTGCCGCTCGTCCCCTTGTCCCTCGGGTTCTTGCCTCTCTTGTTACCGACCCTTCTATTCCGGTCTCGCGCCTTGACGCGCTTGTCGCTGCTGTCGCTGACTTCGCCTCTACCCGCCGCCTTGACTACGCTAGCGCTCTGGTCTCTGACCCTGCCCGTCCTCCGTCCGTCGGGGGTGCTCCTGCCCTTGGCAGTGACGTCCTAGAGGACAGGCAGTACGAGCTTGCTTTCCTTTCCGAGGCTGCTCCCCATCTCTGCTCCATGCTGTTAGTCCCTGAGGGTGACCCAGACGCCTTCGACATCCCGACCCCTCGCACTTACGCTGAGGCCACCTCGGGACCTTGGGCCTCTCAGTGGATAGCTGCCATGGAGCAGGAGATGGCATCTTGGAGGTCCACCGGCACTTACGTCGACGCAGTTCCCCCGCCTGGGGTGAACGTAGTCGATGGTCGGTGGCTCTTCAAGGTGAAGCGCCCCCCTGGAGAGCCGCCTGTCTTCAAGGCGCGCTACGTGGCCAGAGGCTTCAGTCAGCGTGAGGGGGTTGACTTCTTTCAGACCTTCGCCCCGACCCCGAAGATGACCACTCTTCGGGCGCTGCTACACGTAGCAGCACAGCGCGACTACGAGCTTCACTCCCTCGACTTCTCTACTGCCTTTCTTCAGGGCAGCCTACACGAGCAGGTCTACCTGCGCCGACCACAGGGCTTCACTGGTACCTTCCCCCCTGGGACCCAGTGGCTTCTCAGGCGCCCGGTCTACGGCCTGCGTCAGGCTCCTCGTGATTGGCACGACACGCTGCGGGCCACGTTAGCAGACCTGCAGTTCTTTCCGTCCTCTGCTGACCCGTCGCTGTTTGTGCGTTCCGGCCAGACTCCGTTCTACATCCTTGTCTACGTAGACGACCTGGTCTTTGCTACTGCTGACAGGGATGCAGTGGCCTCTGTGAAGGCCGAGCTGCTGAAGAGACACACCTGCACTGACCTTGGAGAGCTGCGTCGCTATCTTGGCCTGCAGATCTCTAGGGACAGAGCAGCACGCACCATCACTCTGACACAGTCACACTTGGTGCGTCAGGTCCTTCAGAGGTTCGGTCTTCAGTTCTCCTCCGCACAGCCCACACCTCTTCCAGTAGACCATGGGCTCTCCGCTCCTGTTCCTGAGGAGCCAGTAGAGCCCAGTGGCCCCTATGCAGAGCTGGTGGGTTGCCTCATGTACTTGATGACTTGCACTCGCCCAGATCTTGCATACCGTCTCAGCATCCTGGCTCGCTTTGTGGCCAGTAGCAGACACCGACCTCAGCACTGGTCTACCGCTAAGAGGGTTTTGCGATATCTAGCAAGTACATCGGGCATGGGGTTAGTGCTAGGAGGACGCAGGCCAGTGGTCCTCACTGGGCACACAGACGCTTCTTGGGCAGACGACTCTGAGACTCTTAGGTCGTCTCAGGGCTAGTGTTTCAGCCTTGGTTCGGGTGCTATCTCTTGGAGATCCACTCGCTCGTCGTCTGTTGCTCAGTCCAGCTGTGAGGCTGAGATCTACGCTGGTGCCATGGCGGCACAGGAGCTCCGCTGGCTGACCTTCTTGCTCACAGACTTAGGTGAGCGGCCTAGTTCTGCCCCGGTCCTGTACGCTGACAACAGGGCCATGATTCTCCTGTGTCAGGAGCCTCGACTTGGGGGCCGGGCGAAGCATATCCAGCTGCGGTACTTCCTCCTGCGCGAGCTACAGCAGCCTCGCCAGGCCCGCGTCGTTCACTTGGCCTCCGGTGCCAACACAGCTGATATCTTTACTAAGGCGCTTGCGCCTAGAGATCATTAGCGGCACTGTGTACAGCTTGGTCTTGTTCCTGTAGCTTCTCACTTGTTAGGACCCTGATTGTGTACTCTCTACTATATATATACCTGTCTGACTGGCCTTGTGGCCTTACCTCCAGCGGCTGGACTAGTAGTGCCGCCCTGGTTGGTTTTAGTCTTGTTTGTACTCTTGTCTCCAGACCCATGTCTCAGTGGTTGGACTAGTAGTGCCACCCTGGGCTGTGTGCTTCTTGCTTAGCTCCACCCCTTGTCTAGCCTAGGGGGTGTGTCAACTTATACATATTATCTATGTAGAAGTTATAGGCTAGACTAGGTGTGTGCTTCTAGTGAGTACAACCAACTGGTATTTGTTCTATGTTTCTCTTCCTAGTAATTCATTCGTTTCTACGTTAACACGTACGACTTGAACAGTCCCGAACCATCACCAGGGTTCCAGACCTTTCAGTTTCGCTTCGACACCTCGAGGCCCTTCGATACCTTTCCCGAACCTTCCGATCCTACGTCCAGGATCACCCTAGGCTTTCTATATATTGTATTGTCTTTCATTTTATTGTCATTCACTCGTTCACAGTTTCGCCATTGCCCTCCGTGCTACTTGGCAGTCCCATTCATAACATGGTGGATACAAGCGGTTGCGGGGATTGAGCCTTTCAGCGTGGCTACTCCACCAGAGTCAGCATCAGGGGCAGGAATGCCGGCAAGACACCAACCGACGTAATCTCAGCATTGAGTAATGAGATGACTTGCCAGTCTTCCTGCCCTTGACTTGCTTAGGGGAGGCATTCATTCTCAGGGTTTCAAGCGTAGCTTTTGTGCCTGTGGAGCATCATCACATGTGAATCGCAGCCATTCCTTACTCAAGTTGTGCCTCAAAGCAGACTGGAAGGCCCCATGGAGGGATGATGCTAATCATTGGGAAGCAACAAGGAATTCAATCTCGCAACCTCCTTCACAATATCATCATGGTACTCCGCAAGTGCTGCATCGTACTCCCCATAGTCCGCCCGGCCATTCCCCTCACCATGCGAGCCCAGCCCTGGTAGCGCGTGGCGGTGCTGCGATCGCGGGATCGTGGCCAAGTCGCCGGGGTCCCCCTCGCCCACGCGCAGCTGCAGGCGCGCCACCTGCACGGCACACATGAAGAGCACAGCAGGCAGGGAGAGCACAGGGCCCTGTTGTGCATCCCCTCCCCACATGCGGACCCACCGATGGACTACGGCCCTGTTCGGCAACGCCCACTCTGAGTGAGCTAACTCCAAGTGGGGGAACCCCGAAGAGCTTTCATAGCCTCGGGTTCGCTCTCGGGATTGGGAAGTTCCGACACATTTTACGCTCAGGGATGCACGACTAGTATGGGCACCCCCACTCGGAGTGGAGTGGGCGCACTCCAGGGTTTAGGCAGGGAGGGGGTAGGGAGTGTGGTTTGGCCCAACTCCAAGCGGGGTTTGCTAGCGAGCGCATCCTCCCTGAAGGTTCGCACACCTCCACTCGGAGTGGGGTTCTCAAGCATTCCGCAGCACACTCAGAGTGGGGAGATTCGGTGTGCCACTATCGAATTCTGAAGCTTTAGGTGTCTTCTGTAACTCCCCTGAGGAATTTCCGAGAGCAATCCGCACTGGGAACAGGGGGCTTGCCGAAGTGGGCCTACATGTGGACACTTGCAGACGAGCGCCTGCCTCAGGTGCTCGCCAGCAGCACAACGGCGTGGCACCTGTAATGCATACCGCAGAACCAAATGGCACGGCAGCACTAATGCTCTCAGCACACGAGCTGACCACCCACCTCATACCCTACCCACCTCATACCCTACCCACCTCATACCCTACCCACCTCATACCCTACCCACCTCATACCCTACCCACCTGAAACACCTTCGCACCCACATGAAAGCGTAGCACCCACCTGAAACACCTTCGCACCCACATGAAAGCGTAGCACCCACCTGAAACACCTTCGCACCCACATGAAAGCGTAGCACCCACCTGAAACACCTTCGCACCCACATGAAAGCGTAGCACCCACCTGAAACACCTTCGCACCCACATGAAAGCATAGCACCCACCTGAAGCACCTGAGCATTCACCTGGTAGCCTGAGAGCCACATGCGCGAGCACAGGTGCCAGTCAGTCATAATCGCCGTGTGCCCCTGCCTGTCGTCCGCCTCGTCCAGCCACCCCACCTCCTCCAGCACCGCCCTCCTCACCACCACCGGGTACCCTGTCACCAGCCCCGTGAAGTGCATTGGCACACCGCTCTCCGGGTCCTTCCAAGCCACCTTCCCCCCATCCCCTACTCCCTTCCCTCCCCCACTCCCGCCGCCCCCCCTCTCGCGCTCCTCTGCAAACCCCCTCCAGAACCGCACACTCTCCCCAGCAGCTGCCGTCTTCCCCACCTGGTCCACTCGCCGCACCGGCATGTCATCGGTGCGGTACCCCGCCAGTGCCAGGCGCGGCCACGCGGCGAAGGCGTCCAGCACGTCCTGCAGCCAGCGGCAGTCAGCGGGGGGCAGCGCGTCCCCGTGCAGCAGCACCAGCAGGCGCCCGCGCGCCATGCGCGCCAGGTCGTTCAGCATCAGGGGGTCGGCGCCCAAGCGCGGCAGCACGGGCACCACGAATATGCCCTCGTCCGTCTCGTTCCACATGTGCATCCACGCCTCCAGCGTCGCGTCGGGGTCCACCACGCTCACGAACAGCTCTGCGCGGATTCCCGGGAGCGCCCCCTCGCCGCGCATGCCCTTGGTGCACGCGTACAGGCGGTGCACTAGCGGTTTTACACGGTCGGCACGGCCGGTGTAAGTCAGGAGGAAGGAGAGGTTCGCCTTGGGGTCCGGGTAGTGCTCGGGCAGCTTCTGCCACACCTGCTTCGGGGCAACCAGCCCCGGTTTTGACTCGTACTCGGGGTAAATAGCCTCCCAGTCCACGCACTGTTCGGTGCATCCGGACGCGTTGGCAACAGCGGCGTATCGCTGGAGGAGAGCGCTCTGCTCCTCGGTCCAGTTGCCGTGGGGCAGGTGCAGCCCGCACTCCTCCCACAGCCGCACCTGCGTGGCGTTCAGGGTCGCCTCTGCTGCCATGGCGGCTGATGTGGCGGCTGCCAGCTCAGCGCGCTGCTGCTCCACGTGTGCGACAGCCTTGGGGTGGTCGGGGCCCTCCGAGTCGAACCAGGAGCGGAAGGGCAGGTACCAGAAGAGGAAGTCGGACAGCTTGGTCTTGTCTGTGAGAGGGATGGCGAGGGAAGAGAGAAGAGGGGAATGTGAGACACGACACGGCAGGAGGACGGGAGGGCAGGTGCCAGAAGAGAGACTGAGACAAGTGCCATCTAGTGTCGTGGCTTACCTTCCCTTCCCTTCCCACTGCCTTGTGTTGTGGGGAACGTACCAGAAGAGGAAGTAGAGTCGCGTCTGCCTCTGCACCCCGACACTCAAGCCCGGCCAGCCCAGCACGTCGTACAACCGGCTACACTCCTCACAGCCCTTCGCTCAGCCCATCCAGGCGTGTGCTGCCCTTCCTTCAACCATGCTCATAAGCTTCTCTCACTCCTTCTCGGCCGCGGTGCTCACCGCTGCCTGCTGCTGCCTCTTCACGCTCATAGCCCTCCCCACTTATCACTCTCCCTCACCAACGCTCCTCACCAACGCCCCTCACCAACGCCCCTCACCAACGCCCCTCACCAACGCCTTTGAGCCCCCCACTGGTGCGTGCTGCCATCCCATCCCATGCAGTGTGATGCGGCAGCACTCACCCTCGCCCCCAGCCAAGTCACCAGCCCCCTCCTCCTCATCAATGCTGAGCCCCTCCCACCACTCCCTGCTGCTCTACAGTCTCGCAACGACTCCTCAACACGTACAACCCACCTTCCCCGTCAGCCATGGTCTTGAGCTTCTCACTGGCCTCCTCTGCGGTGAGGTTGAGCACGGCCCACCACTCCCTGCGGTCGTCCAGGGCGCGCAGCTGCGCCAGCATGAACTGCCGCAGCTCCACCTCCCGGTCCGCCTGCTGTAGCAGCTGCGACGCTGGGGACAGGAGAGGGGGGGGAGAGCGAGCGGCAGAGGAGGTGGGGGGAGGGGGAGACGGCATGAGCATGTGTCAGCATGGAGTGGCGCAGCTCCACCTGCTGCAACCGCTGGGAGGCTGGTGAGGGGAGAAGGGGAAGAGAGCAGTGCAAGTAAGAGAGGCAGAGGGAAGGAAGGCTCTCCTCAGCTGCGTGAGCATGATGTGGCGCAGCTCCACCTCCCTGTCCGCCTGCTGCTGCTGCTGCTGCTGGGACGGTGGGGAGAGGGAGGGGGGTTGCGAGGAAGAGGAGGGCAGCACAAGGGCGGCCATGAGGCAGCACGGAGGCTGCAATGCCAACTCCCTGCCCACTCCCTGCGCCTGCACCTCAGTTGCGGGGCAGCTTTTGAGTCGACTCAAAAGTCGCCTGCACCTCAGTTGCTGGGCAGCTTTTGAGTCGACTCAAAAGTCGCCTGCACCTCAGTTGCGGGGCAGCTTTTGAGTCGACTCAAAAGTCGCCTGCACCTCAGTTGCTGGGCAGCTTTTGAGTCGACTCAAAAGTCGCCTGCACCTCAGTTGCTGGGCAGCTTTTGAGTCGACTCAAAAGTCGCCTGCACCTCAGTTGCTGGGCAGCTTTTGAGTCGACTCAAAAGTCGCCTGCACCTCAGTTGCTGGGCAGCTTTTGAGTCGACTCAAAAGTCGCCTGCACCTCAGTTGCTGGGCAGCTTTTGAGTCGACTCAAAAGTCGCCTGCACCTCAGTTGCTGGGCAGCTTTTGAGTCGACTCAAAAGTCGCCTGCACCTCAGTTGCTGGGCAGCTTTTGAGTCGACTCAAAAGTCGCCTGCACCTCAGTTGCTGGGCAGCTTTTGAGTCGACTCAAAAGTCGCCTGCACCTCAGTTGCTGGGCAGCTTTTGAGTCGACTCAAAAGTCGCCTGCACCTCAGTTGCTGGGCAGCTTTTGAGTCGACTCAAAAGTCGCCTGCACCTCAGTTGCTGGGCAGCTTTTGAGTCGACTCAAAAGTCGCCTGCACCTCAGTTGCGGGCAGCTTTTGAGTCGACTCAAAAGTCGCCTGCACCTCAGTTGCTGGGCAGCTTTTGAGTCGACTCAAAAGTCGCCTGCACCTCAGTTGCTGGGCAGCTTTTGAGTCGACTCAAAAGTCGCCTGCACCTCAGTTGCTGGGCAGCTTTTGAGTCGACTCAAAAGTCGCCTGCACCTCAGTTGCGGGGCAGCTTTTGAGTCGACTCAAAAGTCGCCTGCACCTCAGTTGCTGGGCAGCTTTTGAGTCGACTCAAAAGTCGCCTGCACCTCAGTTGCTGGGCAGCTTTTGAGTCGACTCAAAAGTCGCCTGCACCTCAGTTGCTGGGCAGCTTTTGAGTCGACTCAAAAGTCGCCTGCACCTCAGTTGCTGGGCAGCTTTTGAGTCGACTCAAAAGTCGCCTGCACCTCAGTTGCTGGGCAGCTTTTGAGTCGACTCAAAAGTCGCCTGCACCTCAGTTGCTGGGCAGCTTTTGAGTCGACTCAAAAGTCGCCTGCACCTCAGTTGCTGGGCAGCTTTTGAGTCGACTCAAAAGTCGCCTGCACCTCAGTTGCGGGGCAGCTTTTGAGTCGACTCAAAAGTCGCCTGCACCTCAGTTGCTGGGCAGCTTTTGAGTCGACTCAAAAGTCGCCTGCACCTCAGTTGCTGGGCAGCTTTTGAGTCGACTCAAAAGTCGCCTGCACCTCAGTTGCTGGGCAGCTTTTGAGTCGACTCAAAAGTCGCCTGCACCTCAGTTGCTGGGCAGCTTTTGAGTCGACTCAAAAGTCGCCTGCACCTCAGTTGCTGGGCAGCTTTTGAGTCGACTCAAAAGTCGCCTGCACCTCAGTTGCTGGGCAGCTTTTGAGTCGACTCAAAAGTCGCCTGCACCTCAGTTGCTGGGCAGCTTTTGAGTCGACTCAAAAGTCGCCTGCACCTCAGTTGCTGGGCAGCTTTTGAGTCGACTCAAAAGTCGCCTGCACCTCAGTTGCTGGGCAGCTTTTGAGTCGACTCAAAAGTCGCCTGCACCTCAGTTGCGGGGCAGCTTTTGAGTCGACTCAAAAGTCGCCTGCACCTCAGTTGCTGGGCAGCTTTTGAGTCGACTCAAAAGTCGCCTGCACCTCAGTTGCGGGGCAGCGCCACGGGGCAGCGGGACGGGCTTGGAAGAGGTGGCGCGGGGAGGGAGGTTGCGCGCCTGCCAGCATGCACTGCCGCAGCCCTGGCACCCCCTCAGCCTGCTGCTGCTGCTGCTGTGAGCGGTTAGCCGGGGAAGGGATTGGTAGGGGAAGACAGAGGGGGCGCAGAGGAGAGTGAGCACGGGTCAGCATGAGCTGCCCGACTCTACTTCCAGCTATAGTACAATGCGCACCCTCTCGCTTGGTTCTAACCACTTACTCAAAGCTTTAAACAGATTAGGATAGAAGCATAGCAACTCAGTGCACTCCTACCTGACTACAATCGCACCCTGCAAAGCACCTCATAGCCCCCCAAATCTCTCCGCTTCCCCAATGACACTTGTGAACCCCCCACCCTTCCTTCCCATCCCCGCCCTCTCCCCCCCCCGCGCACCTATGTGGAACTGCGTCTGCTGCGCGTCCGCCAGGAAGTAGAGGTCCATGCACGACCCCACCGCCTCCTCCACACTCGCCAACGCAGCTCCTGCTTCTCCCGCCCCTCCACAATCTCAGATGCGCCTGCTGCTGCTCGCACCTTGCTCTCTCCCTCCACCTCACTGCCCCCACCACCGCCCTCCAGCACGTCCCCCTCCCCCACGTCCACCTCCCCAACGTTTACACGTGGTGCAGCTGCCAGCATGGCGTGGATCTGCGCAAGGCTGTCGCTGCAGGTGGCAGCGCGGCAACGGCTGAAGCCGCCGCCTCGTCCAGGAGGGGGATGCTCTCCCCCAGGGATGAGCGGTCGGCGCGCAGTTGCTGCACGGGGTGGTGAGAAGGGCGGTTAGGGGTGAGGGAGGGGTGCGGGTTGGCGGGTGAGGGGGTGAAACAACGGGCATGGAATTGCATTGGAATGAGCGGCCGAGCTGCAGTTGCTGTGACACTTGAAGACTGTGGGAGGGTGCTGAGGGGAGGGGAGTGGTCATTGGAATGGGGGCTGAGGAGCAAGGGTAGGAGTGGGAATGGTTTGGGCTTGACATTGACACGGGTGGGTGGTGGTGGTGGTGGTGGTGGTGGTGGTGGTGGTGGTGGTGGTGGTGGTGGTGGTGGTGGTGGTGGTGGTGGTGGTGGTGGTGGTGGTGGTGGTGGTGGTGGTGGTGGTGGTGGTGGTGGTGGTGGTGGTGGTGGTGGTGGTGGTGGTGTGGTGGTGGTGGTGGTGGTGGTGGTGGTGGTGGTGGTGGTGGTGATGGTGGTGGTGATGGGTGTAACGACACAGGAGGGCGTCACTGTGGTGCACGTGGAAAAGGAAGGTCCAAACAGGGCCTCCCTCTGCTCCCCTCCCCCCTCTCATTCCCTCCTCTCCCCTCTCCCCCTTCTCCCCTCCCCCCTCCCCCTCCCCCCTCCCCCCCTCGTCCCTCCCCCCTCCCCCACACCCCCTCCCCCACCTGCAGGGCGTCCCTGGCAGCGCCGTCCATCCAGCGCTGCTCGCTCTCCGCCCGCGCCCTCATCTCCTGCACCCGCCGCTGCAGCGCCCTGCTGTGCGCCGCTAGCAGCGCCACCACGGGGGAGCTGGGGAACAGGGGGGAAGGCGAGAAGGAATGAAGGGGAGGGAGAGGGGAAGGGGAAAATGTTTGCTTTCCACCCACCGTGCCATAACTCATGTTCACGTGCACGACTTGCAGCCGCACGTAGCAGTGGTGGCAGGAGTGGCCGTGCCGGTCTTGAGACGGACCCACCTGTCACCTAGTGCAGGATAAAGCGTTGCATCCTCCTCGCCCTTCACTCCCCCTGCCTCCCCCTCTCTCCCCGCCCCCTCATCTCTCCCCTTCTCCGCTGCCAGTGCAAACAGGTCCGCCCGCCCCACTTCCCCCTGCCCCACTCCGCCCTCCCCCCCTTCCCCCTCCCCTCCCAGAAGGTCATCAGACGTCCACGCGCCTAGCTCCGCTCCCCCTCATTCCCGTCTTCCTCTCCCCAGCTCCCCCCGCCTCTTCCGCTAGCGGAGACAAATGCGGAGAGGACGGAGGCGGAGGGGGAGGAGACGGCGGCGTAGAGGCAGGCGAGCGCAAGAGCGGCGGAGAGTCCCAGGACGGCGCGCAGCCAGGGGGAAGCGGGGAGTTGCATTGCGGCGGAAGTGCGCAGCTAAGGGAAGGCGGAGGGAGGCATGGCGGAAGACTTGGCGGGGGGGGGAGTGGTGCGGACAGCGCGCGACTAGGGGGAGAGCGAGCAATGCGGGAAGAGCCCGCGACTAGGGAGGGGTCGTTGGCAGGGGCTTAGTGCGAGTTAGGGGGAAGCCGAGAGGGGTCTGGCGGGAAGAGCGCGCGGTGAGGGGGAGGCGGGCAGTGGCATGGCGGAGAGGCGCACGGCGGAGAGCGCACGGCGGAGAGCGCACGGCGGAGAGGCACACATCGGGGATCAGGCATGGGGCATGGCGCGAAAAGTTCGGGTGGTGAGATGGTGGGATAGTCTCTGGTTGGTGGCACGGGAAAGAGTGACTTGCCGGGTCTGATTTGAAGAGCGGCAGCAACGGTCGCCGCTGCCGCCCACCGAAACAGAGGGCTGCTGGTGCCGCGCCATGAAAGCGAGGAAGACTGTCACATGCAGCGGAAGAAAATCGAAGGAAAAACGGTAAACGGGTCGAAAAATGTGGAGAAGTGGGGTATCGATCCCCACACCTCTCGCATGCTAAGCGAGCGCTCTACCATCTGAGCTACATCCCCATACTCTTTTCATGTCATGAAATAATTTGGTCTGTTTAAACATTTGACTCAGATCAGCACTGTCATCAACATCCATCATCCCACCCCCATGCGGGCCCTCGCATCGCCGCTGGCGCGCCTCGCCTCCCTCACACTCGCCTCCGCCACGCGCGCTCACCCGCACTGCCACGTCAGCAGCACTCGCTTCAACCGCCTTTCAACCCTCGCTTGCCCCGCCGCGCGCCACTCAGCGCACGCACTCCCCGCCGCACTCTCCGCCGCATTCAGCGGCTCGTCCTCTCTGGCGTCGTCACCTCCCCCGTCCGCCGACGACTCCCCGGCGCGGAAGCGAGCCAAGATGGCGGCAGCGGGAGATGCGGCGGCAGATGCGGCAGCTACAGGGAGCGGGTCAGCGGCGGGTGCGAGGCGCATCGGGACGCACAGCGGGACGTTCCACTGCGACGAGGCGATGGGTTGCTTCCTGCTGAGACGCACGGAGAAGTTCAAAGACGCGGATGTGACTAGAACGAGGGACGAGAAGGTGGGATGAAATCGATGGAGGATTACAGCGCGGATTAGCCAGCTGCGAACGAGAGCCCGGGATGTGCCAGAACGAGTGATCGCCGCGGTTTGGTGATCTCTCTACCACGTGTCAGATGCCCATTGGTGGAGCGCTTAGGCTCTGATCGACCCCTCCCCACCTGCCATCCCTCTCCCCCCTCCCCCACGGCCCATCCACCACCGGGCTTCATCGCGTCCTCCGATTCCCCCTCCCCCCAACTCCACGCCGCCCCGCCCCACATCCCTCGCGCTCAGGTCCGTGCCGCGGGCGTTCGACGACTTTTGAGGCGCCTCAAAAGACATCCCTCGCGCTCAGGTCCGTGCCGCGGGCGTTCGACGACTTTTGAGGCGCCTCAAAAGACATCCCTCGCGCTCAGGTCCGTGCCGCGGGCGTTCGACGACTTTTGAGGCGCCTCAAAAGACATCCCTCGCGCTCAGGTCCGTGCCGCGGGCGTTCGACGACTTTTGAGGCGCCTCAAAAGACATCCCTCGCGCTCAGGTCCGTGCCGCGGGCGTTCGACGACTTTTGAGGCGCCTCAAAAGACATCCCTCGCGCTCAGGTCCGTGCCGCGGGCGTTCGACGACTTTTGAGGCGCCTCAAAAGACATCCCTCGCGCTCAGGTCCGTGCCGCGGGCGTTCGACGACTTTTGAGGCGCCTCAAAAGACATCCCTCGCGCTCAGGTCCGTGCCGCGGGCGTTCGACGACTTTTGAGGCGCCTCAAAAGACATCCCTCGCGCTCAGGTCCGTGCCGCGGGCGTTCGACGACTTTTGAGGCGCCTCAAAAGACATCCCTCGCGCTCAGGTCCGTGCCGCGGGCGTTCGACGACTTTTGAGGCGCCTCAAAAGACATCCCTCGCGCTCAGGTCCGGGCCGCTGGCGTTCGACGGCCACCAGCGCCGGGACTTGACTGTCGTCGCCCTTCCTCCCGCCACCCCTCCCCGCCTCGCAGGTCGTCTTCATGCTGAACTTGGCGATCCACGTGGCACGCGAGGACGACCTGTCAACCGCCCTTCAGCGCTAGCCAGCACTGTGCCCTCCATCTCACCCCCGTCGTTCTGTCGCAAAACCCCTTTCCACCGTTTCAGATCCTCTCCAACCAACCTCGATGCAGTGATCGACGTGAGCGGCGTGTGTACGACCGGCCACCGACCCGGCAAGGGGCCGTTGAAGGAACCGCCAGGGCTTGATTCAATTCCTCTCACCCTCTCTGCCGCGTCTCAGGTCCTCTCGACGCTGGGCGCGGTATGGGCGGGGGGGCCTTGGACGGCACCTCAATTGCTCGCCAGAACCACTGTGAAGGTGCGGTGAGGCGGCGCCCGCACTCCCACCCGTGCCTCCCTTTCAGACCCTCGCCACGCTGGACGCGGTGATCGACGTGGGCGGCGTGTACGACCCTGCAACGGACCGCTACGACCACCACCAGAAGGACTTCAAGGAGGTGTTCGGCCACGGCTTCAGCACCAAGCTCAGCAGCGCGGGGCTCGTGTACAAGGTGCGGGGTACAGGGTTTAGGGTACAGCGTGTGCACTGTGCAGGTTTAGGGTTTCGGGTGCGACCAACACACCACGGGAGGGGCTTGAACGTGGTGCTCGGACACTGGTTTGTTCGCCACCAAGCGCAGCAGCGCGGGAGTCGTAAGGTGAGCAAAGGTGCGCGGCTTGGGGAGTACCGGGTGTGGGGTTTGGGGTACAACGGCCTGCTGAGGGGCTTTCACAACGTGGCAGGGCAGGCTTGGTTGGATCGAAGGGGCGTCCAGGGGGCTCAGTGACAAGAAGCAGAGCTGGCGGGGGGGGGTGGTGAGAGCAGCACGAAGTGTGAGCGGTTCCAGGCGCGTTGGGACGCACACCTGTTGCGAGTCGTTGCGTGATGAAGGGATGTGCGAGGGCTGAAAGGATGAAGGGACGTGCGAGGGCTGAAGGGATGAAGGGATGTGCGAGGGCTGAAGGGATGAAGGGATGTGCGAGGGCTGAAGGGATGAAGGGACGTGCGAGGGCTGAAGGGATGAAGGGACGTGCGAGGGAGGACCTTGAGCGATGCTCTTGTCACCTCATGCGTTGCCTTCTCGCACTCAAGGTGTCTCCCCCCGCCTCACCTGCTGTTGCTCTCCTCCCTCCCTCTCACCTCCCTCTCCCCTCCCTCTCCCCTCCCTCTCACCTCCCTCTCCCTCCCTCTCCCCTCCCTCTCCCCTCCCTCTCCCCTCCCTCTCACCTCCCCCATCTTCAGAGCCGCTCCACACAGATGGCCCACCCACCTCCCTCTCTCACCCTCTCTTCTCCCCCCCCCCATCGCGCAGCACTACGGCGAGGAGGTGGTGGCGGCGCTCATGGGGCTGCCCAAGGACCATGCGCATGTGCGCAAGGTGTACCTCGCTGTCTACCGCTCCTTCATGGAGGTAATGAGAGGGCTTGTAACGAGGATAAGTAGTTATGCTTTGCAGTTCGCCACTCCTTCATGCAGGTGAATGCTTATAACGAGGACAGCGTGAAGAAGGATTACACGTTTTTTGTGTGATCATTAGCAGCCATATCTTAGCTGTGTGAAGTGCTGTGCGGTGTGGTGCTGAGTTGACTCCCCTGCTCCTCAGTCCCCTCATGCCTCCCCTCGGCCCCTCATGCCTCCCCTCGGCCCCTCATGCCTCCCCTCGGCCCCTCATGCCTCCCCTCGGCCCCTCATGCCTCCCCTCGGCCCCTCATGCCTCCCCTCGGCCCCTCATGCCTCCCCTCGGCCCCTCATGCCTCCCCTCGTCCCCCTCATGCCTCCCCTCGGCCCCTCATGCCTCCCCTCGGCCCCTCATGCCTCCCCTCGGCCCCTCATGCCTCCCCTCGGCCCGGCCCCTCATGCCTCCCCTCGGCCCCTCATGCCTCCCCTCGGCCCCTCATGCCTCCCCTCGGCCCCTCATGCCTCCCCTCGGCCCCTCATGCCTCCCCTCGGCCCCTCATGCCTCCCCTCGGCCCCTCATGCCTCCCCTCGGCCCCTCATGCCTCCCCTCGGCCCCTCATGCCTCCCCTCGGCCCTCATGCCTCCCCTCGGCCCCTCATGCCTCCCCTCGGCCCCTCATGCCTCCCCTCGGCCCCTCATGCCTCCCCTCGGCCCCTCATGCCTCCCCTCGGCCCCTCATGCCTCCCCTCGGCCCCTCATGCCTCCCCTCGTCCCCTCATGCCTCCCCTCGGCCCCTCATGCCTCCCCTCGGCCCCTCATGCCTCCCCTCGGCCCTCATGCCTCCCCTCGGCCCCTCATGCCTCCCCTCGGCCCCTCATGCCTCCCCTCGGCCCCTCATGCCTCCCCTCGGCCCCTCATGCCTCCCCTCGGCCCCTCATGCCTCCCCTCGGCCCCTCATGCCTCCCCTCGGCCCCTCATGCTTCGCCATCTCGCTGCTCTCCCCCCTCTCCTCCCCTCCTATGACCTGGACGCCATCGCTTGCAGCATTCGTCACTTGGAGAGCGCCAGGCCTCCTCTCTGTGCACAACACGCACCAGCCCAGCGCCACTGACAGTGTCGTGAAACAGTTTGAGCGGGAGAAGCCCCCAACTACATGAACAAGCGCAGATCTACCAACAAGTTCTCCCTGTGATTGCCACACCTGTAACAGGCTCTCGACGCCATTGACAACGGTGTGAAGCGAATTGAGTCAGACAAGCCTCCCCGCCATGTGAACAGCACGCCCCTGTCAGGCAGTTCCCTTCCCCACTCTCCCACTCTCGCCCCCCCCCCTGCTTTTGCCAGGCCCTGGACGCGAATGACAACGGCATCAACCAGTTTGAGTCGGACAAGCCGCCGCGCTACGTGATCACGACGCACCTGCCGGCGCGCGTGGGGCGCTTCAACCCCGACTGGCTGGACCACTGTTCCAAGGACGGCGAGGACGCCGCGTTCCAGAAGGCCATGGCGCTCGCAGGGAGGAGTTCGTGGAGGTGAGTCGTGCGGCACATGTGGTGAGAGAGGGGTGAGGCAGGGAGGGAGAGGACCGCGAGGCGAGGGGGTGAGGAAGGAGGAAGAGGACATGTAGTGACTGCCAATCGCCCCTCTTCTTGTCTCATCTTGATCTCACACTCCCTCCTTGCCTCCCTTCCTGCCACCACTCTTCTCGGAGGCGGCCTGTACCACAGTGTGCAGCTGGCTACGAGCGCGAATCAGCCAACGCCCGTTCCTCCCCTCCCGGCCATCTCTGCCCTCTCTTGGCACACCTTTCTCCCCCACTCCGTGCTTCACACTGCCGCAGCTGCTCGCCAGTGTGCGCCCGTGCACGCCTGTGGTGGTGGCATGCCCCCCCTTGCCCACTTGCCTCCGTCTGCCGTCTGCTACCTCCCCTCGTGCCTCCCCCCTCCCAGGCCGTGACGTACACGGCGCGGGGCTGGCTGCCG